AGCTTGAAAAGCACCTGATTACCATATACTAATATTAACAAGAATGTGTATGTGTTGAATGTCATAGTAGTAAACGACAGGAGGTTAAACTTACTGGAATAAACATCTCAGCGCATGCCTCAAAATCTCCCAGTAGTTCTTTTGATAAGAGACACAAGAGATGACAGGCCTACGAACACGAGGAACAGCATATGAAGGAAAAGGCAATGGCAAAAATGGTAATCGAAACTACATAAGATAGGATGCATTAATCTAATATACCGTTCACCCCTATTGAAACTGTATCTACTAGCAAAATGTGTTTTCTGGCTAAAATGAATATAAGTTTTACTAAGATGAAGGGTGTTGGCATAGAAAAAGATGTACTTCCTATAAATTAAGTACTCAATGAAAATGGAATACCTCACCGAGTTGTCTCCATTTCCAGGAAAAGAAGAATCACAGTACATTCTAAATCCTTATAATGAAAATAGCAAATCGAAAATTTAGCTAACCTGCTTAACAATGGTAGATCTCCGGTCAGCTAATTGTGTACTTAAGGGACCAACAAGTTGCTTCAGGAGACCTCGAAAGCAAGAGTAATCGGTCGCACCTTAAACAGAAAACGATTCCATGAGATGAAATACAAGAATATTCCTCCACTACTGGCAGAATATATCATGGATAGCAATCAAAGCAAATGAAACTTAGTTTCGAAGATAAACAGACAATAAGTATTGACTTAGTACCTCCTGCAACGAGTCCCTCAACCCTTCGCATAGCTGAAATACGCATTGACCAATCTTTCTCTGGGACGAGTGTTGCAGCAATTTTCTCGAATTCTCGTATCAGCTCCTTCTCTGAGTACACTTTGATGGGCTCAATGGGTTTCTCAGTGATGTCGGCATCTCCTGAAATGAAAATATACGAAACCAATCAGCCGAGATGGAAATATTACAACACCAATTTTTAGACTTTAATCCTTGAGAAAAAGATTTTCACCCCCAAATAAAGAGTTCTCTCGCGTGGGAGCCTTTGCCCTGGGACTGCTCTTTTTGGGATTGACACTTGATGCCTTAACCTCATTAACAACATGGTGACCACTACGGCTATCGGTAGAACGCTGTTGTGGCTCAATACGTTCCAGTCTAGCATTAATATCCTTCACCTGATTAAAACAGAGAAAGAGTTCAAGCAAGGAGCTCCCCAAGACTGCAATCATATTATTCTTTGTCAAAGTACACTAAGTTATGGAAACTACTAAAATGCTATGTGCATTCTCACACTGTATATGGATTAATCGTAATCTGAGATTTACCATATATGATGGAAGATGGTGGCGTTGAAGCTCTTCTCGAAATTGAGACCCACCCTGCATATACATTTCCTGAGAAAAACAGAATTATGATTTAAAATCAAACACGAAATAGAGCATCTGAATTCTATGAATTATCTAGAACAAATAAACAGGTCTCCACGGAGGAAGTGAAATTCTCTACTCAAACTGCACTCAAATTTGATTGGGTTCACTACTATCTCAGTCATAAAAATAGAATTAGCTGTGAGAGTCTGCCTTAATGAATAATTAAATAGAAAGCTTCTGCAAAGAAGAAATCATCACTTAGAGTAGTTGAAAACGAGTTACATAAATGATGGTACAAACTTTACCTCAATGCACAAAATTGCAGCTTCCCTAACTGCTTGATTGGGATCATTTAACATCTGAAGTATCTGATAAACAAACAAATAACCGAGATCAAATTCAATCCGATACAACAAAAACATGATTCATTCAAACCAAATAGCTATCAAAGGGAGATAGATACCGGAGCAAGTATAACACGCTGAAGAGGAAGTTCCGTAGATGCAAAAAGACCAATGGCCGATGTAACAGTACGCGCAAACTCTTCCCTAACTCTCCAACTCTTATGCATCCAAGCATAAGAACCCGCTCTTTCAACTATAATCGTTGAAGAAGAAACCTAACAAAAACAAAAGAAACTCTTCTAAGCAAACACAAACCAATTCAAATTCCATTCAAATTAAGTAAAAATCTTTCACCTCCATTAGAGTCGTCAACAAACGTCTCGCAGCATCCCTAACAGGTTGTTTGCTATCACCGAGCCGCTCGACAACAGCAGGAACAAGAGCATTCAAATGAAGCTTCAAATGCTCACCAGCAAGAACAGCAGCAGAAGCAAGAGCTTGAAGCGCACCTTGAGAGACTCTAAAATTACTATCCTTAAGGAGATCCAAACAAGAATCAACAAGTGACGTCACTTCCGATGGACTCAAACTCTTCCTAGAAGCTTCGAGAAGTTGATGTAGCCTTTCAACAGCCGCCATGCGCTCTTTTGTATCCTTGGCTCTCGCCATTTCTAAAGCTTCCTCCATTTTTTACCGAAACCACCGACGGACGATTCCGATCTGACGCTCCTCCGTTCAGATCTGCTGAAATCTCTAATCAGAGGTATCGGAAAACAACACAAACCGAAATCGAATCGATCCAATGATGGATTCGATGAACAGTGAGAGAGATTGAGAGAGAAAGTGTTGTGTTCTCTGTGTAAATGTGTTTAGAGAGAGAAGTGTCGTTTAATTTTTTAGTACTAAGAAAGAAAAAGAGTAAAGGCGAGACTAGTAGAGAGACTAAACTCTCATTTTGAAGAAGATAAACAAAAGCATGTGGTTGGCTGGCCAATTTTGGAATTGCCCTTGTGTTTCTTAATAATTACTGTTACATGCCACTATTATGTAATGGTCTGAACTTAACCGCCGGTTCCGATTCGGAGTGGTTTAATCCGGTTAGGTTAGTAACAAAAGAATTGAGTTAATTACAGGAATTTTAACAATTATTTTATGAAAAAATGATGATAAAATTCTGTACTTTGTTAGTTATCTGAGAAACTATGTGTAAGAATTTATTTTTCACGTTAAATAATGTGTATTAATTTGGAGTAAAACAAATAATTTTGATTTTATCGACCAAATTGTATGTTTGAGAATAAAAACCAGTGTTTAATTTGGATAACTCATATGATATGTTTGATTGGTGCAATCGAACCACATCATATAATAACAAAAATAAAGTGAGTTTTAGTAAAATAAACTAAATCCGTGGACAAAAAAATACTTTTCATTAAATTTAGAGAATGTTTAATTCATTAAACAACATTAATTAAAAAAAAATCTCATGTCTATCACCAACCTAACAAAGCTGGAATAAATCCAAATTATGTAGCATCATCAATTTCCAGTCATTTGGAATTTTAAAAGACTATAATAAATAAGATAGTATGTTATAATAATAACTCTAAATTCTAATCAATTATTGTGAAATTAGTTTAATTAGACCATTCCAGTGATAATATATAGTACAAGACGTCGGTTCATAGATTGATTAATTATAAACATGAAAGTGGTATAATTTAGTTAGATACATTAAACTCTTTGTAAATTAATACTCAATAAATTAATACACTATAAAATAATAATAAAAATTCGGTCTCAAATCGGACCAATATGAAAATTAACAAAACTAGATAAGATAATAATTTTTTTTGAATTTTTAAATAACTATATGGACCTGTTTATTTGATGAAATTCTTAGAACTTAAAAAGTTTTTGAGGATTAACTTTTAGATTTGAACTAAAGTTGGAGATTCTTGTCGTAGCTCATATCACCCATTTTCCGTATTGTTTTTTTTTTTTTTTTTTATAAACCCTATCGGTTAATCCGGTCAACCCCGGTAAAAACGCACTGAAGTGCTTCAGAGTGGACTTCTTCTCGAAGGGCCACCACAATGTCTGTCCCGAGTTTGGAAATGTTTTCCGACTAATGTCAGGGGGTAGCCAGATCGCCTGTTACTGGACTACCAAGTAAACTACTTGGGCCTTTAGCCCAAACCCAGACTTTCCACACAGATGTGTTTTTTGTTTCCAGCGTGGATCGAACCTGGGTTAGTTCCTTCAAACTAGGCCTGGGCATATGGGTATCCCGTTCGGATTCGGGTAAAACCCGTTCGGGTTCGGGTTAAATGGGTAATGAATTTACGACCCATTCGGGTATTTCTAAACATTCGGTTCCGGTCCGCTTCGGGTATCGTCGGGTTCGGGTCGGTTTGGGTAAAAAAATTTAGACTCTATAAATACCCGAAAAATATGGGTACCCGTTCGGTTCGGGTGTTTTATATGTAAAATGTCGGGTTTTATACGTAAAATATCGGATACCCGAAAAAACCTTAAAAATTTGTTAAATTTTAAGAAATTTAGTTATATTTGAATACATTTTGCTAAATTTTGGCAAACATAACAAATAATTTTTGGATAGTTTGGTTGTTTTGCGTATTTACCAGATTGTGTGTCGTAACTTGGAGGACGTACACTTCTTATTCATAAATTGATTTCTTTTGCTGCAAAATACATAACTTGATAAATACACAAAATAACCCGGCAAACGTGAGAGTTTGTATATATATTATATATTTTTATTTTATTTGCATCCCCTCTCGTTCGTATAGTTTATCAAGTTCAATTTTTTTCTTTAATATTCGCTGAGAATATAGAAACTTGAGATAATAAAGCATATACACACACACGTGGCCAATTGTTGTCACGCCGGCGATCTTAAACAGCTGGTGCGGGCCAAAGTGGCGGAGCGTAATTGACAAGTAAATCATGCCTTAAAACTTTCCCACCTTTTTTTTTCTTTTTCTATTTGTTTTTCATTTCCCAAAATAATCATTTACTTTGATGCTGATTAGTGATTACAACATCACTTACAATTGGATTAGGCAATAAAATGATAAATTATGAAAATAAAGAATTACGACTCTACTAACAGATTAAATTTGAACCGTGTAGACAACTGAGGGTAAAGTTTAGGTATTAGTGACTTTGGTAGCTAGACAAGAACATGACTGATATATACAATAAATCAATAAAAAAAGTTTATCATACACTTGAATAACATACCAAACTAGCATATTCAACATGATATGAGTGAACTTCCATATTGATAAGTTACAGTCAAACAATATTTGTGGTCAAATGGTAAATATTTATATTCCTGAAATTGGTCACCTCACAATTCTCTATATATGTCTTTTTAGGTCTATCAGATAAAAGCACTATTTGTAATTTTTGTTTATTTGTTTGATTAAGCAAACAAATATGGCGAAAGCAGCTTCTACACTTGTTCTCCCAATCATCTTCCTTGTTATGTTTGCCTTAGGTATACACTTATCTTCATGTTTGTTTATGAAATTATGTAATCCATAATCTAGTTTCGCTCTATTCATTGTCAATTTGTCATATCCCGCAAATACTGTAGTTCCTCGCTATATTTACCTCTTAAAGTTTTCACTTAGCAATTTTCAAAAGCTTTCACATAGTGTCTAGGTGTTATTCTTTCTTTGGTATAACATCTCAAATGTTGTAGTTTAAATGGTTTTGTTGGATGTAGTTGAGCAAAATATGGGATGCACAGCGAGTATGGGACTGTGCGAAAAGGATAAGAGCTGTAGTGCCAAATGCAGAGCTACGTTTGGAGATAAGGCTAATGGCTTCTGCGACCACAGTACTAGTACTGGTGGTGGTGGAGAATGTATTTGCGTCTACCCTTGTCCGCCTCTGGCGCCTTGAAATATCCAAATTACGTATAAGCAATATCTAGTCATCGAGTTTTAATAAGAAATGAAATAAGACCACAGCTCCTCATTCCCTATTTAATGATTTAAATCACTGCTCTCTGACTATTTTTTTGGGCGACGCTTTTAGATGTTTTGGGATGCTATTTCATGTGAACGTTGAACCAACCTAATGCACATACATAACCAATGAATTCACCAGTAAACAGAACCAGACTAAAGGATAAACAACAAAATTGACAGGTATAGAGGAATTATCTACGGGTCATCATCATAAGGAACGTGTGAAACCGAGGATGAAGGTAAAACGAAGATGGGTTCTCCGTTGTGTTGAAATTCACGGTGTAGGGAAGAATGGTCAGCTTCATGGCTGATGCAGCTATTCCCGGTCATGTCAAGACGTTTGAGATCACCTGAACACAATCATCATACGTTTAGTAACGCAAAAAAAATCCGCAAATGGCCCAAGAATCAAGCTGATCCCCAGAAAATCCTTACATTTTGCAGTTCTCAGGGATTCACATAGCATGAGCAAGGCTTCGGGTGGCATAAGATTGTAGGATGCGTCGATTGAGATGAGTTTTGGTGCCAAGGGTATGAGCTTTGACATGAATCTAGCAGTCTCTAGTCCTCCACGGTTTTTGCTATAGTGGGAAACCGCAAAACGAACGTGAGGACACCAAAGGTAAACCAATGTATACAGAAAACAGAGGATATGGATTTGCTTTGAACCTTATATTGATACTCAGGAGCTTCTTCAACCCTTTTTCAAGTTTTCTGCCTAGCGCAAGAAACCCGAGAGGACCTAGTCCTACACCCGAAATGTTGAGAGACTCGATGGAGACTGTGATAGAGTTTACTATAGCCTCCGCAACCTCACTGAAGAACAAGAACAATAAGAAAATAGACAAACTTCATATCGGTATAAAGTGAAGAGTTTGACTTTATGAATACCTTCCGAGGGCATTATCTGCAACAGATAGGAACTTTATAGGCTTCTCCAGCATTGAGAGGGTATCAAGAAACTCGATAACTCCACAACATGACAGCTCACAGTTTTCCAAATCCAAATCGGCTAAACGAGAATCCAGATTCTTTGTGAAGTAAGATATTAAGCTTCTGTACCACCCAAGAAAAGCATGTAAGAGAAATGCAACTCTGTTGATTTTCTCGAAGACTAAAAAAGCAGGAACTTAGACGACACACCTGATCCCACTGTCTTCAATGGGGTTCCCGCTCAGGTCAAGAGATTCCAAGCCGGGCATATGAAGTAGAGCATGTGCAAGATTCTCTGCATCATATCTGTCGAGTTCATTTCCCCTAGAAACACATTTCTTGGTATCACAAGGTTTCCAGGCTTAAAACTGTTAAGAATTGTCTCTTTACTAGAAAATACCTTAAGTTGAGCTTGCACAGGGACTGTAAAAACTTTCCAGATGACAGAGAACCAACAACAGATCTGCAGCTAAACGTAGAAAGCCATCCTGAAATCTATATAGCGTAGGTTGGTCAGTCATGAAAAGCAAGCCACACATCAATTTGAACAAGAAGAACCGCGGTGGTACCCACATTGTTTTCAGAGAGGTCAAGGGACGAAAGGTTTGAAGAAGAATCAAGAAGTGTAGAGAAAACCATCCTCGCGATATGCCTATCGAGGTTGCTATCGCAAAAATGTAAGGAATGTAAGGTCCTGAAAGAAAAAAAGATGCTCACTAAAAGAAATCAGAAAAAAAGAAGTGCATAATAATATTACAACGTTTATGAAGAGAATTTGATAGCAAAATGAGCAAACATCTAACAAGACACGCTTTGGCATCAGTTCATACATACCTCACCGACATCAGGAATGAAACGAAAGCAGAAGGCGCAGCAAGTGGATCTATCTCAATGCTAGATGTCTTTATACAGAAACGTTGCATCCCAGTTGTGTGGATACCCTTTTCATGAAGAGAAGCGCATATTGCACTGATGGAACTCGAAGAAAGCTTGCAGTGAATAAACTCAAGCGAAGTTAACGTGTCTCGGGTCTGGATCAAGAGCTTGCACAAGGGCTCAACCTGGAGTATCATCGATAAGAAAGGAATATAATTCCTATAACCTATGAGACTAAATATAGAAAGTTCCTTACATGCTTCTCGGATCTGATCCAACGTAGAACCAAACTTTGCAATTTACTTGTCATCAATAACTCCTACAGTAACAAAGCCTAAAGATTATTTATGTCCTTCCTCTAGAGGTTGAATGATTGATTCATCTACAGAGATACAAATTTGAAGTTCTAAGAGAAAGGTAAACATCGAAAGCAATACAAAATAGCACGGCGATCAGTGATACTGAAACAAAAATAAAACAGACGACTTTATTTACAACGTCAGAGCACAGTTTAATTGCTTACAGAAGTTTCTGTAACGCAGAGCACATTCAGAAGCCTCAGACACCTGCAACAGGTAAGAATGAACACAAAGAAGCATAAGTATGATAGAGTGTTAAATCAGTCCAAACCAGATATCTCACGCACAACCAGTCATGAGCGATATAAAACTTCAGCAAGGTGAAAGCAATACAGTGTATCCGTATATACAAGGAACGTGTGAGGCTATGAAACGATTAATAATCAGAGAAACATGAAATGTTACTCAACCTAAGATACGGTCCAAAAGTTTGGAAATGAAAAGATAGTTCCTTGCAGACACATTTTTGACAACTCATATGCTCTTCATGGCAAATGTATCTCAGTATGTTATCTGCAACAAAAAAATGAATAGTGATTCTTACACAACTGACAAATCAATCCCAAGAAGTTAATTAGAACACATACCTGATACATTAATAGAACGAATCCGACCACTAAATGTCGGACGCAGAGCAACCTCAGCTGCTTCATCAACACAACTGTTACTCGGATTAACATAAAACTCAAAACGAAGCGAGATAAAAAGAAAAAACAAATCATCGGTCAGTTCATTAGAAGTAGCATACTTTTGCAGATGCTTTTCCCAGTAAAGCTGTTGCCAATCAGCTGGTGATTCCACACGGTCAACAAAATCAGGCCACCGCAGCTTAAACAACATCTTCCAAGAGCTACCAAGTGGATCATTTCTGCAGATGAATATAAGTTCAATCTTTCTCAGTCTGTCTTCTCAAATTCGAATAACAAAACAGAAATCAAAAGAAGAATTCATCAAACCTTGAACGTTTTCTGCCATTAATCAAGCAATCATCTCCAGATTCATAATCATCCAAGCAATTAAACGGCCTATACCAATAGAAAAATGTAAATAAAATAAGAGTTGTATCATCTTCATCCATATAATTTGTAACCCTAAACCAAAGAATCTCTTAGTACTGACATGTTGGTCTGAAAATTCTGCAACGCAAGAGCAGGCAAGTGAGCGATAACAGCATCAAGTAACTCCGATGGAAGCTCGTATAAATCTGGAATTGGATTATCGCCTGGAATTATACAACAAAACCCAAACTCAAAATCAGTATATTTTGAATCAAATTGGCGCAACAAAAACCTGAGAGCTTTGTTCGAATATAGTGAATATCTACAACAATTACTTTGAAGGAGCTGAAGTTTGAGAGATTGGATGCAGAGAAACGCAAGAGAAGGAGCTTTCGTCATCCTAACAAAGAGAAGAGAGTGTGAATCGCTCTACGCAACCCAAATCTTCCCGCTGCAAGCTGATCTCGCTGTTTCTTCTTCCAAAGAAGCAAAGATGTATAATAATAATGGGCCAATTACTATGGCCCAATTCATAATTATGCATAGATAGAAAAAAAAAAAAAAAAGAAGAAGATAATTTAACTTTATAAAAACTTTGGTAAAAGACTATATTAATATTATATGGAAATTTATTTACAGAAAAAAAATGGAAATTTAAGGAAATTTTATTGAACAATAACAATTTAGACGAGTTAAAAAACTATATGAGAAATTTATTTTTTGTTTTTTAAACAGAAAGTTCGTTGGAAGATGATCATAAGATCAAATAACACAAAATAATTTTCATAATTTGACGGATGTTACACATCAATAATCTTTTTATAACAATGAAATTGAAATGCTTTTAGTAAATCATAAATATTATTTTGAGCATTGTCATCTAAAATTAAATGATAAAATTTATACTATATAAAAGTCAAGGCTATAAGCCTCTGAGACCGTCCACCTAGGATTTTAAACGACCAATCGGGATTGGCCATCTTGCTAATTAACATTTTTTACCATCTCATTAATTAATTTTTCTAAGTTTTACAAATTTTCTATATTAAGATATTTATTATATGGAAAATAATATATATATGGAAAGAAGAGATATGTAAACTTTTGAAAATATAACATACGGAAATAAAAAAATGTAAAATTTAATTATTAAAATATGCAAAAAATATCTTTATTAACGAATTTAAATTTATGAATTTATAAACAATATCTTGGTAGAAAGTATATATATATATATTCACACAAAAGACATATAAATTTTGTTATTGTAGTAATATCTAAAAGTCGAGGCTATAAGCTTCTGAGGCAGTCCACATGGAATTTTAAACCATCAATCGCTGTTTGACATATCATTAGTTAACGTTTTTGAAATTACTATTATTTTTTATTTTTTTAAAAAATTTTTGTAAAATGCAAAAAGCAACATATGGAAATAAAAGAAATATTCAAAAATATGGAAAATTTTCTAAATATTTTGTCATGACAAAATACATAATATAAAAATTATCAAAATATAAATTATATATTTTTTTAAGTTTATACAATTTTAAACGAAAATACAGAATTTATTTTTAGTCTCACTACATTTATTAGTAACTTCATTTTCAATAACAATAGCCATTTAATCACAATAGCTATCTCATTGAATGATATTTTAAAAATTTATGATTTTTATTCTAAAAGTATTTATAGATAGGAAGAAATATGACAATATATTGAAGCAAGATGTATATAAATTTTGTAATTTTAATACATAAAATAATTTATATTAGTCTCACAAATTTGATTATATTTTCATATTTTCTAAACGACCAATCGCAATTACTCATCGTTAATTAACATTATTAAATTATAATATTTTATACAGTAAAATATTTATGAAAAAGAAATATATATATATATATATATATATATATGAAAATAATAGAAATGTAAATGTTTAAAAAACAACATATGGAAGTAAATAAAAGCAATATATAGAAAAAATAAATGTAAATTTTTGAAAAACAATATGTGGAATACATTAAACTTATATTCTTATTTTTCTAAGTTTCTTATTTTCCAACCAAAAAAAAAGAGTATTAACAAAAACTATATTCGATTAACCCTACATCTTTTCATTATAAATAATAACCGGATGCATCCTATTCTATCATAATTTTTAAGTTATATATTTTGAATCGTCGGTAACAGGTAGGGTTGCTTACTACTCTTTATTAGGGATAACAATAGCCCACACTGGAAGTTGAGTAGAATTTTAATATGGACCTCTCCACTCATAGCCAATTGGTTTTGAGTTCGAAGCCCAAAGTCTAATATGGTATCAGAGCCCGATCCGCACATGCTCAACCCAATCTACATCGGCCCAACCAAATAATTGGTCCGCCGATCAATGCCCGAACATATCGAGATCAATGGCTAAAAGAGCCATCATCTCGAGCGGACGTATTAGGGATAGTAATATCCCACACTGGAAGTTGAATAGGATCTTAAGTGGTATATATAAGATATGAGTCTCTCCACTCATAGCCAATTGGTTTTGAGTTAGAAGCCCACAGTCTAATACTTTTAATGGCGCATATTAAATTTTTTTTTATCGCTTTTGCCACTTGTAGCATTTGGACTTCTATTTTTTTTTTCTCTCATACTCATAATTTAATATACTCACAAGTTATATATTTTTTTTACTCTCATCATCGATTGTTACGATCGTTTTTTTTTTGTGTGTGTGATTCACTCGGCATTACATCCACATCTAATGGATCTAACTTTCCTCCTTCCGAGATGCTATATCCCATAGAAATCAACAACTTTGTTACTTGGATATCTGCACCACCACCTAATATGTATATTATACTTCTGTTTGTTAGATTGTTTGTCATTTGAGACTGAGAGTAGTTTTTATTGTTTTGGTGAGAGTAGTATCGAAAGAGTCCGGCTAAGTTTGTGAATGGTAGATGTGCTAATGAAATAGAGAATGAAACACATGAAATGAGTGCTTGCAAAAAGATAGAAAGAGTGATAGCTTTCTGGAAAAAATTGTGAAGACGGAAATTCATATACACATTGAAAATAATGAGAAAAATATGAATTGTTAAAAATAAAGTATAGATAAGCTTATGAGTACACTTCTGTATAGAATCTTATATTTAGAAGAGCTACACTAACCAATATAGTAAAGATAGACAAAGAACAATAGTGAATTTGCGTATACCAAAATGAGAAAGTCGTCAAAGTTAGTCCCCATACAACAATAAATCTAGGAAAGTGGTGGTTGCGGTGAGAGTTGAGAAACATACATCTAAGACCGTGCAAGGAAGCTCTCTTGGGAAAAGTGTCTAAGCCAATATTGTGAAAGATGTCTATGGCTAATGAGGTAACTTATTGCGTGGTTCTTTTTTGAAACTTAGGTTGTATATTTCTTCAGTTGGATGATATCTAACCAGAAAAAAGATATGAAGACTTGTGTTGAAATTATCGAAAAAGTTGTTCTTCTTAGAATACCAATTTCAATCAAAAACATGAATTAGCAAGACGTAAGAAAGGTAATAAATTTAATTGATGAGATCAGTTTCCTTGCATTATGAACAATTGGCGTCATAATTAGGTAACAAAGAAGGTTGATCTCCAAGTAAAAAAATGAAAGAGAAAGAGAGAAACGCGGTTGACATCATAACTCCATAAGACAAACTTGGATTATCAAATATGGAAAGAAAGTGAGAAAACAGTAATGACATGACCTTTTTATGGTAACGTTTTGTTCATATGTAGCTGAAACTTGATGGCGAAGTTTCTCATTGTGTTGGGATGAGCCATTTTTGTATAAGAGATGCTCTGATGATCTTTTAGGATGAATGAGGCCATTGTCAAAATATTATAATTATTTTCCTAATAGCAAAATCTTTAATAGTATAAAAAAAGTAAAAGATAATGACACATCATATTTGTAATATATTTTATACTAAATTTTACCCTATAAACTTTTTTTCTTATTAAAACAAAATTTTAAATAACGTAAAGGATACTAAAAATATAAATAAGAACATTTATGTTAAATAGAATAAATAATAAACATTATAGTATTTTTGTATTAGTAATTTTAATGTATAGCTAATTAAACAAATACTAAAACCAAAAAAATATTAAATCAATTAATAACAACAAACTAATAACCTAGTTATTTATAATAAAAAGTCTAAGAAATATCACGATCATGTAAATCATTACACACATGCAGCCAAAAACATAAGTGTGAGGAGCAATTAAAAATTTCCAAAAATTTTAAAAACACTTCCAATAAGCATCATCAACAAGATAAGAGCAAAACAAATTACAAAATAGAATCACAATAATGTCTTCCAAGCGTCGACTAATGAGATATTTTATAAGAAAACAAAAACAATAATTATCGAACAACGGCGACACCTTTAGAGACAAGACGACCATCGTTGAAAGCTTCTCAGATTTTCTCCTTATCCCCAAAAATTCAAGCTTTTTCTCTTTTGGAAAAATTCTGAGCAAAAATGCGGCGTAATTGCTGCCATGTTTCGTTTGCTTCAACTCTCAAGATCCTCAATTGTGTTCAAGCTTTCATCGGTGTTTCCATCATTATCTACTCCATTTGGATGCTCCATGAATACAACCGTCACCTTCCCGTCGACCCACCTCCGGCAGCTTCATCAAGCTCCGGAACCGAGATCGCTACTAGTATATCTGAGCCCTTGAAGAATCCTATTGAGTTCATGGCGAGTATCGTTCTCGGGTCTAATGGTGGTGATCATGGGTTTAATCTACGCTCGTTGGATCTTCCTGCTCCATGGTACTGTTTTATCTCTTGTAAAGATTCCGATTTTAGAGATTCATGTTAGTTCACTTAGTTTCCAAGTTTAGGGTTCTACTTAAAAAAGTTTCTACATTTTAGGGTTTTAGTTAGATTCGTGGTAATTCAGCTGGATCTAGTTTCTATAAATGGAGCTCAAGCTTGGGTTATTACTTGTAGTTCTTCAATTTGTTAGTTCAGGTCAAGGCCTCAAGCTTGGTCTTTGACTTCTTTTCCATTATTAATGAAGTAGCTAAAGAAAAGGGCAAGCTCTAAATGCTTGAAGATGACTGGTCTCAATTCAGCTGAAAGAACTTTTGCTAGATTTATCATGTTTGCAAGTTTTCAGCTCATCTGTTTGTTGATTCGGTTTTTGTCATGCTTGTTTATGCAGGTTCATCTACTCTTTCATGGCGGTTGGTATATTGGTCTGCATTGTTACCTTCATTGGTTTCATAGCAGCTGAAGCAATCAATGGCTGTTGCTTGTGTTTTGTATCCTTTATACAGAGACCTTACTTCACTTTTTTCCTATCGCTGTTAATAGATTGAGTTTATTAACCTGCATGAGAGTTATTGGAATGGGTTTGTTGCGGTTTTTTCCTTGACAGTTTTAAAGTACTCTATCCTCAAAACTCTGCTCATTCTACTCGAAGCTGCACTTGTTGCATACATTGCTATTGACCGTCACTGGGAAAAGGTGAGATCTTTCTTATGTTCTAATCTTGTTTCTTGTGTCCTTGACTTGTTTCTAACTGTTTAGTATCTGTCTTCTGTAGGATCTTCCGTATGATCCAACTGGAGAACTCAGTAGTCTTAGGGCCTTCATTGAAGAAAACATCGATATATGCAAATGGGTCGGGATTGCTGTGGTAGCCATCCAGGTAACTCAAATCAGTCCTTTTTAACTTTGAGCATTTTCATGATGTATATTGTTTTTAGAGAGTGTAAGGACAAAACATGAATCTTTCTTGTGTTTTTTCAGCTACTGTCGTTGCTACTAGCCATGGTTCTCAGAGCTATGGTTTCAACCCCAAAACCCGAACTTGACGAAGAGGAAGATTATGAGAACCCGAGGAGTAGAACTTGGGACCCACTTCTTGGTTCGCAAGGAAACCAAGCGCCTGCTGGGTCAAGCAAAATTGAAAACTGGAGCTCCCGAATCAGAGAAAGGGTAAGGCTGATCATTTTTTTTTTTCATTTTCTTGATACTATACGCATCAGATAATGCTTTATGAATCTGTTGATGATTACAATGGTTTCGTTTGGAAATTTTCTTTTTGCAGTATGGTTTGAACCAGAGTCCACCGGTGAACCCGAAAGGTTGATGAAGCCAAATTAACATGTTTCTAAAACTGCATGTGTCAATATGGTCTCTCTCTGAAGCTCTCTTTCTCTATGTTTGCTCTTTGCAACTTCTCGAGTGTGCATAACATTAAACATTTACTCAAAACGGTGCCGTGTTATGTTTACACATAAGCATCTTCGTTTGTGTGTTTGCTTGTATAAACAATCCTGTGAACAGTTTGAAATTAGCATTTCCACTAGAAAGTTTCGATTCAATTTATGATGAAAAAAAGCAAAACTAAAATTTGAATTGGACATCAGAAACAGATTAAAGTAAATATATAATATAGGTTAAACTCTTTCTTAGATTATATCATCTATATATGTTTCATTATTACAAAAGCTTATATTAATGTATATACGTTGTTTCATCGAGTAAGATCAAAGACTGCTTCTTCAACTAGCTCTTGCAGCAATATCACTTCAATTTCAATCCCCAAGTTGTTTGTTTCGACTTGTAGACCATAACTCCACATTTTTCCGACAACCTCGTCACTCACCGCCGAGTCCTGTAACGCTGTCCAAACATGTTCCACCATGTTAAATCCCTTGGTCAAGCCGGTGTGCGCAAGTGTTGATGTTGTCTCTGTTATGATGGCATTAACACAGTCAAAAACGAGTTTGCAGGTTGATCTCTGTTTCCTACGTTTGATGAGTTCCTTGTTGGCAAATTTGTCTCTTAATGATGGGTCTAGTGGGCTCTCCGGTGAGTGCCAACGGGTCATAAGCGAGTCACTACCGCTGAAACCAGACGCTGTTAAGAGCGTTTTGACGAAGCCATACCAGTTTTCATCTTCCTCGATTCCCATTGCGGGTTTAGTTGTGTTTGTGTATGACTCATCCTCCCATGAGAAAACCCGAGCGATTGATCCGATAGGAGGCGATTTGTCAATCAGATTAGATTTCAAAGACATTTTATCTCCTGTGGGATGTGACAATACCAAAGTGTTACAATTGATAAAACTCTTAGAATGTTTAACACCAGAGAGATAAAATTAACCTTGAGGGGTTCTTGGCTTTGCTGACACAGAACATTCCTCTTCAAAAGCCGGCTGTAAAACCGAAACTGGACTCGGCTGGTCCTGGTTTTCATTTTCCACATCACCCTGCAAACAAATCAATGGCCAATGATTAAACCAAGAATGATTTCCGAGCATCTTCTGAAATTCACAACCAGTTTTGGATTGTGATTTACCTCGCTTGTAAAAATATTTTTTTGTTGAAATGCATCACGGTGTATAGCCAACTGAGAAGGTACATCTGTCTTGTCCTTGTATGATTTTTTATTCCGGAAGAAGAACAAGCTTGAAACTTTCCATGATGACTTTAAGCTTCTTGACTCAGTAAGCTCTTTGGGAGCTTGTGCTTTTGAAGTTCCACCATTGAGCCTAATCTCAGGGACTGATTTTGACCTTTCAAGGGTATTCAGAGAATCACTTGTGCTTTCTACTTGATCTAGACCACTGCCTATGCATGAGATTGATCGTCTCGTTTCTTGCTTCACTTTGTTGCTCTCTTCACTGGATCCGGTAGGTACTTTCGTCTCTGAAAGTGCAAGCACTTCGCCTAAGGCCGTTGAGACCTTTGGGATGTTTTTTGGTTGTTGTGTGTCTTCGTTTAGTGACATCATTGCCCATCTCTCAGAAAGCCGTTTCTTTGCCTCTCTATAGACAGATGAGTCTGGAGAAAACGAGACTCGGCTGAACGAAGAGGAAGAAAAAGGACTCTCAAACCTATTTGCACAGTCCCATGAATGCCTAGATGATGTTGACATGATCTCAGAGTTGGTAATGTTTCCCACTGGATATTCGTAATTTGACCTGTTTAACGAGCAATCATCATCGATATAGCCATTGGACAAGACTGAAGAAGAAGAAGAAGAAATGGTCTCGTTTCTGCAGTGACCCTCAAAAGTTTCACGTATTTGACGTGTAATTTCCTTTGCCACTTGTCTAGTCTCAGCATCTCCAGCCTCATCAAAATAAGGAGGAGATGAAGCAATAGCCTTTATATCTAGAGACTTCCCAGGACTAGGCTTGAAGACAACTATTCGAGTTGGCTGCACATCATCGATCCATCCAGTTTCCTGATTCAAAGAAACTGGTTTCTTACTATCTTCAACCAAACATTTTTGAACACCAACAGCCTTTGAAGGTCTCAATACCGTAATGCGCTTAGCCTCTGGATGAGGAAGAACAGGATGATGAAAGTCAGAAAGATGCTGAGATAACAAAGAATTTGATTCCTGGAGAAACTTCACGAATAAATCTTTGTTAGAACTTAAAACTTGGAGTGCTTCTTGGAACTCACTGGACCTGTGAAGCTTGTCATCTGTCACTTCCATGAACTTTCGACGAACAAGATCCATGTGTTTATCACTCATACTTCCATCACACTTTCCTTTCCTCGCCTTCTTCTGATCCCAGATTTCATCTTCTCTATGATGCTTATGAAACTTACCAGCTTCATTACTACTACCCACACAAGTCAACGAACAGCGTGAAGAGCTTCTGGATCTGCTCCTTGGTGTAGAAGTCTCTAGACCCATTAGTTTAGCAACTACATTATTAGAACTCTGTCTATCTTCAACAACCTCGTTCGACATTTCTCGAGCAATGAGCTTTTTCATAGATTCAGTACTTGTCCTCAAATCAGGCTATAAACTCAGTGAAAGCTTCTCAATTCAGCGTCAGCATCAGATCGACTCTTCCTAGTTACTCACAGAATCTGCATTTTACCAGATTTCGAAAATCATGAAATTGAACAATGAGCTCGTGAAATGGGTAACGAATCTTGCTAAATCGATGTAACAAAGCAAAGAAGCTAATGTGCAGATAAAGGGAACAGAGATCAGATTCCGGCAACGAGGGAAACGGAAAAAAGCATCGGAAAGTGAGATCGGAGCTATAAGTCAGACAATTTCTGCTTCACTCACTGAGAAAGAGAAAGAGAAAGAGAAAGAGAGGGAGAGGGAGAGAGAGACCTCTTACTCTGTTAGTAGGTAGCTTGATTTAGAAACATTGTCAAGCTCTGACGCCGCCGGAGAAATAGCTTGGCCGGAGAAGATTTATGTGTGAATCTAACAGGAAGAGCTTTTCAGGGGATGATACCAAAAGGGCTTTTTTATTATTTAGAGGGAAAATCTGCAAATCACCTTTTTCCATGGCTTCAATTCTCTCTAATTTTAATATATAAAAAATAATTGTTAAATAAAAAAAAAAAAAGCGATTCTTCTTCGGGTGAATTAAATATTTATACACGGATGACCAAAAAATTAGATTTCAGAACATGATAATTTCAAAATTAAGTAATTATGAAAGATAAAGAAACTACAAACCAAAAATATCCTTCTTCTGTTGATTTATTACAAAAGTGTCATTGAATTAAAAATTGTTTTATTATTTCAGTTTCTCATCGATACTGTTCACTTAGACGTCGATGACACTGTTCATTTCGAAGTTGATAATACTGTTCATCGTAGGATATTGTAAAACATTTGTGATTTGTGTAGATAACTATTTTATTACCTGATAAATAATATAATATCGTGATAAGTTAAATGATTATCTATTGGTTTAACAGGATAACAAAATATATATCAATAAGTTTATAAATATATCGTGTTAAAACATATTGTATCTCGATAAGTTTATAATTGATATGATAAAGTTTATATTATCATAGAAAATATTTATGGTAAGATAGTAGATATATAGATAATATTTATATTAACGTGTATAACGATGTTAACATGATAACAATAAAAGTAACAAGTGTTACTCTAGTTCTGGTCACCGACGAAGCAAACCCAGAAAACAACATAATTAAGTTTTTTGGCCGCCACTGTCAAATCTTCAATCATCACAGCTCCTCCGTTCCTATCTTCGTCTCAACTCACCACTCCATTTGATCCAACAATAATTGATAACGAGGTTAACGTAATAACGATGAAAATAACTAGCAATAAAAAATAACAAGTTTTGTTGTAGATCTGCTCACCGATAAGATAGACGGAAAAGGCGATGATTATAAAACTCTTAAGCCATCTCACCTTCACCGACGCCATCACCATAAAATCCCTTTAGCTTCTCGCACCTCTCTGACGTTATCTCAATCCACGATTTTATTCACAGCACCTTCTTTTTTCCCAAACTCACCACCACCGATAATATAATCATCATCACTATCGTCGTAAATACCATCTCCACCATCGTTAAGAACCCAATAGTTTAAATAGGAATAAGCACCACTTACAATCACCACCGCAGCGGCCGTCACTGAATCGGAATAGAAACCACCACAAAATCAAATCGACTATGCATCTTTTAAACACACAAGTTTGTCTCCTCTCTTCCTCCTACATCATCACCACCGTCTTCTACTCTTTTGTTGTCATCACCATCAAGTTCTACAATTTTATTTTAGAACGATTTATTGAAAATTGTTTGTATTTGGCTGTTAGAATTTTTGTTCATGTCAATTTTGATGAACACTTCGACAGAGAATGGGAAAGGAGAGAGAAAAGCTGAAAAATTAAATAATTTTTTTAAAAAAAAATGAGGACAACAACGTAAAATCCTTTACACAACATCTGACAAAACAGTGTTCATTTGTGTCAGTTAATTTTTGAGTCTTCTATGGGTACAGATTGATAATACCCTTCTTCATTTAATTATTATAAAGTTTTTAAATGAACTAGTAATGATATACAAAATTAAATAATATTCCCTCCGTTTCACAAAAAGTGTCATTTTGACACATTTCACACAAATTAAAAAAACATTGAATTATACATATATGCTCCTATTTAATAAGTGGTTAATGATTTAAATTTAATAAAAAGTATCTTTAAGGTAAGGGTAAATTAAGAAATTTTGTGTAAAAGTTACATTGAAAATGTAGAATAACACTTTTTGTGAAACAAAAATCAAACTCTAGAATAACACTCTTTGTGAAACAGAGGAGTATATGGTTGAAGTACATCAGCTTGTTGGCAGGGATGCATATTATATGGTTTGTCTCAACTAATGGGCGAAATTAGGAAGAGGATGCATTTACTAAAATTTTGATTCTAGTTTCATTACTATAATTGATAAGTCTTCTTATTTCTTTTTCTTATGGATTAAACTTTTTTTTCACTAAATCGATAAAGTTATGTACAATAGATGGTCTTCTTCGCACCAAAACAAAAAAAAAGAGACGTATGTCTCTGCGTGTTTACGATGAACATAATTACTATTAGTACGTAGAATTTTGATATGTTTATCGTAAATTTATTGTTAATTTACGAGAAAATAAAATAAAAATGTAGTTGGTTCAAACCGTATAAACAATGAAAATAAAGAAAATTATTGAAATATTTTATTTTTTCTTGCAAGCTACAAATAAATTTAGGTGGCATTATATAAAGGTTAAATATCACAATTGCTAATAAATGATCCAAGAATCGATAAAACAATAGCATGTTATATGTTTTATCATATATACGCGAGCAAATATAAAAGAATAATGATAATCTACTCTAATATGTAATTTCATATAGTACCCAATATAATTGGGACCAGGAATATCTTAAATGGACCAACTAACTTATTCTCTTAATGTCTTTTCTCTTGTCCAAATGTAACCCCCCAAAAAAAAAAACACGTTGAGATGCAATATTTTTTAATTATTTTGAAATTTAGTAACCCAGCATTCTACAAGATAAGAGTAATTTCACCCAATGATCAAATTTAGGAAACAATCATTTTGTTTTTGTTCAAGGACAAGAGTGAGTTTTGAGCATTTTGGATAATTTTATCTTTTTCATTTAATTGTCACACCTATAAATAATGATTGCATGTCATTTTTATTTATACCTACTATGTTTGTAAACACATCGATCTCATCTTAGTTCTCTATAGTTGATATGCTAGACTCCGTTTAGAAATGTTTGGTTGGATCTCAAAATCATTTATTTCTTTTTATAATTCCGTTTATAAAGATGATTTTCTTAAGAAAGAAAGAATGTATGATTATGTTAACGGATTAAGTATTTGTGTTTTTTTAATAGAAATGTCACTTGTGGTCTACTTATTGTACTTATCACTAATTAGTAGTGGTACTTATCTAGTTAGGCTATTGTAATCTACAAACAAATAGGTTCATCAGAATATTTACATGTTAACATACAAACATTGCTTATACATGCCATAAAATAAGATATCATGTCATATCTACAATTTTTTTTTTTTCTGATATCCTATCTGTATCTAGGGATCCCTCTGTATCTACAACACTTAGGGCTTGATTGGTTCTTCCGCTAGCATCCTCCTAGCGGTTGCTAGCGGTCGGTTGCGGTTGTTAGCGGTTGGTACCAATCATAGAAACCGCTCCGTACCGCTTCAAACTGTTCGAAATCGCTGAATTTCAAAAGCTCCTTCCCGCAAGCGTTTGCGGTTGCGGGCGGTGCGGTTGGATTTAAAAAAAAAAAAAAAAAAATTCAAACGTTTACTTATAATTATTATAAAATATATTAATCTTATATATATCTTTCATCTTTGTATCACGTTCTCATCAGAAACCCTAATCAATATTCTAAAACCTTATTTTCTCAATGTCTTCCACCCAAACTGATGAAAATCAATTTGAATATTTTTTTATTTTCATTATATATTGCTTTTCTTTTTGATTGAATATATGTTTCGATTTGTTTTCTCGAATAGAAAATTATTTGCTTTTTGATTGAATTCAACGTTATTTACAGTTTGTCCCATTACTTGATACAATTTTTGGTGTTAACCCAACATAAAGTACTATCTTATTATAAAATTTCTTTATTTTTGAATAATTATTTAGTACTTTATTTATGGTTTTAATTATTAAGCATGTTCAATTTTTCTAATATTATCATAATAATATATTGGTGTTTTTATTTCTTTTTTTTTGTAATATTTTTTATTTTTTTATTTAACTGCTACCGCACCCGCTGGTTTACCAGTCATAAAACTTCCGCAAACGCATCCATTTTCAAACGCTAAACCAGTCGTTCAAAACGCTTGGTAACGCTTGAAACCGCAACCGCCCGCTTCCGCAAACTCCCGCAACCGCAACCGCCCGCTTCCGCAAACTCCCGCAACTGCAACCGCTGCGTTTAAACCAGTCATGCCCTTAAAGACTCTTAAGTCTTAACATTTCGATAAGAAAACTTTTTGCTATTCTCCCAAAGATAACAGCCAAACATATATATCCCAAAGTATTAAAAACTATAAAACCTTCTATAGCATAATAGCAATATAGAGTGTAGACAACGTGGACACATATCCACGCTTTGATTCTCGTTTCTCTGGTTAGACTTCACATCACGTCGAACCGGGTTTTATAACCAAACGGCCATCAAACTTTCAACTATTCAACCGGTTCGTAGAATTTCGGTTCCGTTGCATTAAGTAGGAGCTAACTTTTTGACCCAATTCTATGTCCTCTTGGTCAAACTAACTGTTATTTTTGGTTATAGGGTGTTTGTATTTATGAAAATTAAGAGTATAACTATAAGAAATAAATATAAATTAACTGATTCGGGTCAGGAAGTTGTCAGCAAACGAGAAGATGGTAATGATGTGGTGGTACATTCACACGAAGTTGGGTTAAGAAACTAGCTGTTTTTGTTGTACTTATAATTTCTATATAGTTTGTTTTGTTTTTGGGATAATGCGTTACTATTCTTCTCTTAGTTTGAATATTGAAGATTGTTGCGACAAAATCATAAACATTAAAGATGGTTCTAAGTGTCTCGGATCAGTTTTGTCAAAGCAAGAAACATATTGCACTCGAGAATTTCTTTTGCAGAGGCTTAAGAAGTTTTAGTTTAGGAACCTGAAGCTTCTTGTTTTTGAATATGCATTGTGATCTACATGACTAAAATAAATTTTGTCGAACCAAATTGTGTAAGCCAAGTAATATTGTCTATTAATTAGTTCAGTCTAAAAATCAATTTCCAATGGACACAACTTTAAACACTACAGATTTTCAGCTGACCATACACACAAAAGAATTCATAATTACAATATTTATTGGGGAGAGTAATGATAATTGATGTGAAATAAAAGTACCATCAAATTAAATTGAATAGGGAAAAGCAATTATTAAAGAACCAACCATATATATCTGCATTTACATATTACATTCCTCCTATTATTCATTTTTTTAAATACCACCTTTCTCAATCTTCTTAGTGATTTTTTTTTTTAAGAAAATGAGTTCCAACTACTTCGGTGTAGTTGAGAAGGGTCTAAGAGGTTCATCAAAAAACAGAGAACAAAAACAAAGAAATTGTCAAGAATGGTGACCAATTACTAATGTCCCCATGAATAACTTTGGTATAAAGATCTTTTAACATCTCAACCATATAATCAGTCTATGTTGGTTTGATTCATATCGTTCATCTACACCTCTTTCAATCAATTCATCAGTAATGTAGTTCGGACAAGATCTGATACTATCGATTCCTATGTCTTCTAACATAAATGTGTTACTTAAAGGAGTGCAGAACTATGACATGCCACACAATCTTCAAAAATCAGTGTTAGTAAGTAAGAGTGATGCTGACCTGTGGCAATCAAACTCGGTTCAAGTAGTTCTTCTTTTGCTGCCTTAAGCTCATAGCCACTCTATGAATCAATCCAAACTTGAGGTGACTGAAACTGAGAGGGGATCCAGTCATGAGACTTAAAACGATCACTCTGTCTAGGACTTGACGCTTCCAACATATTTGAATTGCTGATGCTGGAAAATGGAAAGGATACTATTTCACATCCAGGGACTTTAAAAGGACAATGATCCACAGGAGAGTTTGAAAGATTATGATAGTTTATGTAGTCTCTTGTTAAACAATCTGAGCTATTTGTGCGGTGAGATGTGTGGAGATTCTGGTTTGCAGCAACCACGTCTTCGTCACCAATAATATACCTCTCGAGTTCATCATGCTCAAAATGGCTGGCATGGTTCGTTGCTGGTAAGAGGAAACTGCCTGAAGTGTAATGAGAGAGCAGAGGTAAAGGGTACAGCTCTTTCGTAACCAAATCATGGGATGAAGAAAAGTCAGAGTTCCATGGATTATCTGTCAAAGATGAGGATGATGCAGTTGGATACGTGATGAGTCTTGTGCGATAACTAAGTGGAAAATCATCTGTCTTTCTGGTGCTTGCGGTTTCAGTATTCCACTCGAGAAGTAATGCCGATGAAGGCTCTCTATGTTCGTGTGATAAGTCCTCTGAGCTGTATCCAGTTTCTCCTCTGTGATAATCCATTGAAAGAGGCTTGTAGTTTCTAAAATGGAGGCTAGATATGGGAGAACAGTCAAAATTTTCTTCAAAAGGAAGCGACAGACACGCCTTCTGTTTCAACAGTAGAGGTTGATAAACCGATTCCTTAGGATATAAGATGGGAAAGCTAATCTCTTCGGGATCTCTTGGGATGAAACTGCTCTGAACATGACCTGTTGGATACTGCAGCCTCGGGGTAATGTTATTTTCCAGCCATCCCTGCCAAGAGATCAATCTGTCCCTATCCATTTGCAGACTGTGGTCAACTTCTGTATAGCTTTCATAAGACCTCTTGAGAAACTTTGAGCCAGGAGAATCAACAAACGTTCTTCTTTTAACTCTATCCGTCCTCTCCTTGGAAAACCTAGAAGGCTGAGATGAAATAAAAAGTGCTTAGGATTGATCAAGATAAGCAATTGACAAGTACTCAGGGATTCTATCAAGCTTACCTGTGTCTCCTCCGTACTAGGGAACAGCCGAGTTAGGAGTATAGAAACTAAATCATGCCTGAAAAATGATTATTTTCTGAGTGCATTATAGAAACAAGTATTGAGATTAAGATAGATTAACAACTATTTCGTACCCGTTTGAGGTAAGCTCAGGGATTTCAGAAAACCATGTATCTTTGACCAAATGATGCAGTTTCTTTCTCTTCACAGAGAATATATCTCCTTTCTCTTCACTGATTCCTGATAATTCAAACAACAAAATTATCTCTCTTAATTTTTGACTAGTATGTTTTGCATCTTTGAAATGTAGATCAATCTAAGAACTAGGATATCAAAAATGTACCTCCACTTCCAGATCTCAGGTTGTTACCACTTGGAACTGTGTCCTTATCTCCACTGAATGATGAAGAAGATTTCCCATTATCTCTTCCTAAAAAAAAAAAGAAATCAGAAGAATGTTTATGGATCACTACTTCCCAAATACCTGTAAGAGAGTATAAACATGTAATGGAAACAAAATTGACACATGCATCTTGATGAGAGACAAGAGATCATATATATATCATGTGGCACAACCTCTATCCCTCTGAGTCAAGTTGGCATGTGACATAGACGACCCACGTCTGGCACTATGAATGGGTGTGGAGAAGCTATAGCTCTTGGATCTATCATTATCGTCGCAGTCCGTTCCTGCATGTTCTGGTTTATGAAACAGTAGAGATGAAAATCCAGGGGAAAGCCAAGCAGACACTATCACCATCATCACAAAGAAAAAGCTCAAAAAAACCCTTTGTGGATTTTTACCTACTGGCTTGACTCTAGATTCGAAGATTTTAGGAATTTTCTGAACTTTATTTGATGGTTTAGAATCATAGGATTCAGAGCAGTGACCAAAACCAGACTTTAACTTGTTAAAGAACGCAAACTCCGAGGTCTTGGCATCAATCGCTGCAAAAAACCAATACCAGGCGATTTACAATCAAATTCAACATTCTAAAAAATCTAAGCTTATTCAGGTGAACTAGACGCGAACACTTACATCCTCCGGCCTGATATTCGTTCAAGGGACTCCGATGATCAACATCGTCGAAACTCACCCTTCTCCTGCGTTTCAAATCTAAACCAGAAGGATACAAAATTCAAACATACACACTCACGAAATCGAAATCGAGGATTTGAAATTACCTGAATTTGCTCGAGAGCTCCAAGGATCAGTAAACTTGAATCCGATTTGTGGATCGGTCTTCTTTAGGGTTTCGTCCGCTTTCGTTCGCTGATTCCTTCTTCTCATCACCGAGTATCTGATATCGTTCTACAGAATCGTGGCGGAAGGTGAGATTTCACATAACGCGTCCATGGCGATTCATAAGAATTTGAAATCGGAGAAGATAGAGAAATGAATTTTGGCGGCAAAATCAATTAACCCTAATTATAGATTCTTTGCTCGAATTAAGTATTTCATTTTTAAAGGTTACCACGTCATCACATTATCCAGATGATACTGATATGTGATCACACGTGTCATATCACAAGTGGTGAAAACGATTCGTTTTAACCCCAAACAATCTAAAGCTTTTTGTCTTCATTTTCTCTTTTTTTTTTTTTTGCTTAGCCTTTTCGGATCACACACACAACTGCCAACAATCACACACAGATGGCGATGACGTCAGCAGCTACCGGATTTATTCTGACGACCAACGCCCCGGCTGCAGTAGGCGGCGGTTCTTCAAAGAGCGCCACCGTTGTGTCTTTCTTGCCGATGAGAAGCTTCGGTTCGAGGCTAGTAGTCAGAGCGGCGGAAGATGCATCTCCGGCAACCGCCTCATCGGAGGGTTCTTCCACCACCGCTGCTCCGGCGGAAGCTCCTGCCGCGAAACCTAAACCTCCTCCGATTGGCCCAAAGAGAGGATCCAAGGTCACCTCTTCTTCACTTATCCATACATAATCTATGATGCATGAGCTGTCAAAAAAAAAAAAAAAAAAAAAAAAAAAAAAAAAAAAAATCTATGATGCATGTTTCTACTTCGAAATTTTGAGTTAATTGATAGACAAGTTTGGACTATTTAGAATAATTTTATAATTATGGGGTTAATGTGAAACTTATATGAAGTTTTGGCCCCTGTAGATCATTATAAGGAAATAATAATCCTTGTGGTAGAAGAAAATTCAAGTTTGATTAGATGTTATTAGAGAAGATTGGACTAATATTTCAGCCAAATTGGGTGTCATCAATAAGTTCTGTGTCTATTTTAGGGCATCTTAAGAGCTATGGGGTTGGGGCTAATGTGAAATTTGTATACAATTTTGGGGACTTACAGGTCAAGATTCTAAGGAAAGAATCCTACTGGTACAAAAACGTTGGATCAGTTGTGGCCGTTGATCAGGTAATGCATCTATTTTCCAAGTTTACATTCGATTTCGTTTCATCTTACACTCCGGTTTAAATTGACAGGACCCGAAGACTCGATATCCGGTTGTGGTTCGGTTCTCGAAGGTGAATTACGCGAATATATCGACCAACAACTACGCATTGGACGAGGTCGAAGAAGTAAAATGAGAGACATGGTTTATCTCTGAACCAGTTAGTCTGTTTGTAATCTTGAACAAAACCGTATGTACCAAAAAGTTTACCAACAATTCATCTCTATCTTTTACAATCTCAAGATCGATTTCCAATATGCATTTAGCCACCGAAAATCGATTGCAAATTCCAAGTGGCAAGTACTGTTGATCAAACTTAGCAACTCCGGTTTAGTAACAGAACCCGGCCTGACTCACTGACTGTTTATTACGTACCACGTAGAAAGAAACACATGATTCTTATTGAAAATCTCTATATAGACAGTGAATTCAAACACCAATCATCTCGACTTTAATAAGGAAACATGAAGAAATCACCAACCAGTTTCATCAGTAAAAATCTCTAGGTCTGACCGGTTTTTCCATTGGCTTCTGCTAACATTGCCTCCAGCTCTCCTTTATTGTACAGCTGCAATGTATCTGTTCAACAATAATGATATGCAGATCAAGTTACCAGAAAAATCACAAGACATCGAGCAAGATCTTGAGTACTATCTTGGTGCCAATATACACAAAGAAAATCTCATTTACATAATGAGATAGAAAAATCTGGGTGTTGAGGTAAGAGAGGAAGAGAGAGTGTACCTGAGCAGCCACCAATGTGCTTGCCTCCTAGTCATGAACAAAAACATGATATCAAAATCAGATTTGTTAAGTGATGGTCATAGCAAATGCAATGGCTAAGATTTGATCGCAGTTTTGTGTTTGAGAATGTTTTGTTTTCAGGCAAAGAATCAAGAAAAATTATCAGAGTGTAGTTAGTAACAGACGCAAATGATGAAAGAACTAACCGATGAAAACATTAGGAACAGTGTATTGTCCAGTAATTTTCTCCAACACATTTTGTAGCTGCGGCCCCTCTGAACCTGGACCAAAACATTTGTAAATGTTTCAGACCAATATCATGAAGGCAGAGATGATTTACCCAGAAAAACTAAACAAGACAAGAAAGAACAAATGTTTATGGAAAGTCACCAAATCTTGAAACGAGATAAGATTACTAAAAAGATAGCAATTGGATAACAGTTTGTAAGAAACAGAAAGATACAGTCAAAGATCCAAAGGAAGGCAAGTGTATCTTCAATATCTAAGGTTTAAGCCATTAGATGTACTACCCTAACCACGTTGATTCTTCATCAACAAGCCAATCTTTTGTCCAATCAAAACTACTCGAACTAATTTTTGTAACAGAAACTCCAAAATGTAATCAAGGGACATTCCTAACCATCAATCCTCCATCACAATCTAATCCAGAAACATGAAGAAACCAAATCAACCGGAAGACGAACAAGAAACAAGTATCAACTTCATCTAGTATATAAATGTTGAAACAATAGGTAGGTACTTGTAACAAACATTTCCTGCAGTGATGTAAGCATACCGAGTTCATCCAATTCAACAACCAGTGGCTCAACTTGAAGACTCTTGAACAAGGACTTCACTTCAGACGAGTATCTTCACCACAAGAACAAACCCATTTCAAATTTAAGCAAAAGTACCAATATTGATATCGGGAAATCAAACTAGGTCATCTATAAACAAAACCCATTACTCTAATTGAACAAAAAAGCATTGTGATTTATAATATAAACAAGTGTGAACCTACGAGCAATAGGTTTTGGAGTAAACAACGACAGGGTTCTCTGCCACAGTCGTTTTAACAGTCTCCTCCAATGTCGATCCGAATGAAGACATGGCCCTAACAGAAGAACAACGTTGTGGTGGCCACGACGCGATTCCGATTACTGTCGGCTTTAGACATCTCCTCAAAGGTAACATGCCCAAGCTTCTGATTCCGCTTAACATGGAGAAAGAGATTGCTGGATTTGAATTTACCGACGTCCATGTCATGTTTGCGAGGTTAACTGATGCGGCTACCATGGCGATTTTCCGATGGAATAGGATGTGCTTTCTTTTTTTATTTTGCCCTCAAACTCTTTTACCTCATTTTATAGGAGACTAATCTCAATTGCTCATCAGAGTCAAAGAATTAATCTACATACTCTCCTCTAATCCACATAACTACCCCTTTACTAGGTATAGGTGGTACAACTGGTATCCTAGTTGTACCACCTCCTAATTGTACCAGACCTTAGTTGTACCACCTAGTTGTACCAGACCTTAGTTGTACCACAACTTAGTTGTACCCGAATATTCCCTAGTTGTACCAGTTACAACCCGTATAAAAGGATTCGAACCCTGGGGGCGCGCGCGTGCGCATGGAGCTCGCAACCACTGAGCTATTGTGTTTTTCGTTGAACACTTACCGATTTAATTGTATTTAACCTTTATCACCCGAAATCAACCCTCATTAAGGGTAATTTTGTCTTTCTACCATTGAGGAGTATTTGAGACAAAATTTGGAGCTTGAGGAGCCCCTGAGAATTTGTTCCCATTTTATATCAGCGATATTTTTAGTGTTAAATACCAATAAAACTCAATATGTTTTTTTTAGTCCTCGGCGATCGGTTATCGGTTCGGTTCCATTCGATTTCGGTTCTTTCGATTCTAAAATTTAGTTTTCATTTGGGTATTTTGAAATTTCGGTTAGATTCCGGTTCTTTCGGTTTAAAAGTTTAGTACCCATTCGGTTATTTTGCTTTGGATATTTTCGGATATTTTTCGGTTATTTTCGAGTATTTTTACATATCTTATATATATTTTCAAGTATTTTTGATTATTTGTCTATAAATAACTAATATTTTTGAAAATATAATTGTATCTCGAGTATTTTCGGCTATCCGAAATATTTCGGTTCGGTACCGATTTCGATTACAATTCTTTCGGTTATAGAATTTAGTATCCATTCGGATATTTTCAAATTTTCGGTTCGCTTGGTTCTTTTTGCTTCGGTTTTGATTTGATACATTCGGTTTAGGTTATTTGTCCAGGCCTAGGTTTTTTTAAAAGATTTTTGTAGTATTTCATCGAATAAGTTTAGACTTTTACACAGTATATATCATGTAACATAAACAACAACAAAAAAAAGATGAAGAGGATAGGAGAAAAAGATACTACTAGTTCTTTGATGAGACATTTAAGACTTTAAAACAGTAACAGAGATTATTCAACATCCCAAATTGGGATTTGTGTCTGCAAAATCCAATCTATTGAAAGTACACAAAACAAAACATGTGCTTTCTCTCCTCCTCCACCTCTTTCTCTTAGACCATTTTTCATCTCAAGATGACCCTTCATTGTTTGGCTCACGAATCTGGATCGATGTTTTCGACAAGCTTGCTTCCAATTCATCCAGCTCATCCATGTCTAGGTCATCATCATCATCGTCTTCATCTTCTTCTTCTTCTTCATTGACTTCTTTCGAACTCTGTTCAGCATCACCACTACTCTTGCTTGTCCCTGCCTCCGTTTCTTTGTTCTTTGCCTGAAAAGCAAAAAACTCAAGATTCCATTAACATGACTTGGTTGGTTTAAATGGTGAGTGAGAGAGAGCTCACCTTTTGTTCAGTCTCTTCCTGCTCTCTTTCCCTCTCGTATTCTTCACAAGCCTCAGCATCATCCACAAACAAGCTTGCATTGGACAGAAACAGCTCCCGACCACTGAGGTTACAAATCCACACAATGGATCAGCTTACAAGGACAAAACAGAGTCACATTGGATGGGTATGGAACAGAATGATGAATGGGATTACCTCATACGGTCGTTCTTAGCTCTCTCCGCTTGAGAAGCAGCCAAACCGGCATCTCTCTCAGCTATTTTCTTCCTCTTCCATTCCATAAATAGTGCAGGAGTCATTTGTGTTGCGGTTTGCAGTTTTGCACGCTGAAACATAGAACAAGAAAACATGGGTCTCAAAAATCAAGTACACGGTCCTAGCAGCTATGACCGGATTGGGAAACCAGAAGGGTATTAAACCTCGTT